CGGGACACCATCAAAACATGACCGGGACACCATCACAACATGACCGCCACCATCACATGATCGGGACAGCACCATCAAAACATGACCGGGACACCGTCACAACACGACCGGGACACCATCAAAACATGACCGGGACACCATCACAACATGACCGCGCCACCATCACATGATCGGGACACCATCAAAACATGACCGGGACACCGTCACAACACGACCGGGACACCATCAAAAAATGACCGGGACACCATCACAACATGACCGGGACACAATCACGTGACCGGGACACAATCAAAACATGACCGGGACACCATCACAACATGACCGGGACACCATCAAAACATGACCGGGACACCATCAAAACAGGACCGGGACACCATCGCAGCATGACTGGGTAACAATCAAAACATGATCGGGACACCATCAAAACATGACCGAGACACCAGCATCACATGACCCGGACGCCATCAAAACATGACCTGGACACCATCCGCCCACCAGCTCTGACGGTGACCCGACGGCGCCCGTCCGCCTATCAGTTTTGCAAGACTCCATAGCACGGCTATTGGGGAACAACAACAACAACAACGAAGTACACCCACGATCACCATTGACATTCACGCCACAAGCAATCCCTACCATCACGCTCACATTGGCAGACAGCATCATCTTCGCCATCCCACCCAGCGCACCTTACACATCACAGACATACCCACCATTGTGGCTTTTGCCCTTGACACGTACATTTTCCGGGCCTGTAACCACACCTACAAACAAATTCGTGGCGCTGGGATTGGCTCCTAGCTGCCGCCGGCCCTTTGCAACTTGCCATCACTCTCATTGAACATGCTTGGCAACAACTCCACAACAACCTTCTCCACCACACTGACCTCCATTTCAACTACTACCGCTATGTGGACAACCGTTTCATCACCCACAACGAACACTTCCTCTCCCACCCGGCCATCCAAACACTCATCCACCAAGATTTCTTCGGCGACCCCATTGAGCTCGAGACCGTCGAGGACTTCCATCTACTTGGCTTCAACATTGGCCTCACAACCCGCACGATTACATACATACAACCAACACAACCCTGGAAAATCCGAGATTCCACTTCAGCTGGCAGCAAACGGAGGCCCTTTGCGTCACGCTTACACACCATCTACAAGTACACCTACCCACCAACTGCAGCTGTCGCCGCGGCAGGGCACCTCATCCACCTCTACATCGGCAAAGGGCATGCAGTAGCAACCGACTGCAGACGCTTCTTGAAGACGACAAAGAACTGCCACCAGGGAGCGCCTGTGTGATCTGTGTGTGCCCCCTCCGTTTCTAGGATTTTTGTTTTCCTCGCATTCATGCAAGCAGGGGCGGCAGGCTCGATACACCTACCTGACGCAACGAAGCTCTGGTGTATCGAGGGGTGGGTGGACAGATCATCCACCTGTACCTGCTTCGTGACAACACTCCAATTTTCCTGCTGTTCCTTGCTTTCATGGTCCTTGCACGATATATACCTAAACCCTTTTCCAGCTGACGTGCCGCTGCGCCACCGCAGCCCTATTCTTCGCTTGTCCTTTTTCATACCTGTTCGTTTTGTTTTTTTGAAACCCTTGTTATCCTTTTTTTGTCACTCCTAGCTGCCCCTTCCACAATACAACTGTACACAGGACGCTTGCAATTTTGTTGCCTCAACGCCGGGCTTTGGTGCGAAACACTATTAGGATCCATACCGCCCTACCTGTAGGCGTTCTGCTGTCTCCTCAGGCTTTCACAAGCAGCAAAGAACTCCCATGATCATCTCTCTTCCCTTTCCATTGTGCGTTTGTTTTTTTCCTGTGGATTGAATCAACTCCGTCCAGCTTCGGGCTTGTTTGTCCACGATGCAAAAGCATGACGCATTGCCGTTGCCACTAGCTGCTCGAAGCTCTGGTTTGTGGAGCCTTGCTCCTTGAACGCTGTTTTTGCAGAGCACTGAGAGCAAAGTTGTTGATCGTGTTGCTTCTAGTTTTGCTCGACTGGCTTGGGAAGAAGACAGCAGTGGTGGCGGTGCAATGGGAGTGTAGGTTGACCATTGTAGCTAGAGATTGGTCCTTGGTCACAATCCGGATGTTTTAATTTTTTGAAAAGCTGTGATTGCTGAACTTGCTTGGGGCAGCTGCCAAGGAGGGAGAAATGCCGGAAGGCAGGACTTGAAAATTACATTCACCCTCACACATCCTGCTTTGAGACATCGCTCCTCTCTGCAGATGAGCATGACATGATAGGATTTGATTTGACATTTGGCATGATGTGCTCAATGACACGATGACATAACATGATGTGCAAACTTGATAGTGACAGTGACAGGATGTGTCACAGTATGGGAAGGGGGTGGTTCTAAAAACTTCAAAACAGGAAGGAGCATTTCCAACTTCGAGCATACTTTTCTTGTGCAATGCTTTGTTTATCTTTGTTTTATATTTATAGGAGAAGGATGCAATTATTTCGGTCTATTTCAATGTAGTATGCCTTGCCCGAGGCCAAAATTTAGTGCAATGAGAGCACTTCCGTGGGCCACCGGATGGCAACTTTAGAGCAGGTATTAGGCGTTCGTTTTGTGTTGTGTTCTTTGCGGGGGTGCACTGCCCCCTCCCCTAGCCCTCTCCGGCGATATGAATGCGCAAGTCATTTCTTCTTTTGACTTTCATTTGCCCACAGCTCCACAAACAAGTATTGCGGTAATTTTGCAGCTTGGCTTTAGATGTTGGCTTTTACTGTTTTCTATTGGCTGTGGGAATTGGCTTGGGTAGCTTCTCTTGGCTTATGACTACTGTTACCTGACTTCCGCTGGTTTCTTGGAAAGGTTTGTGCGTTCTGTGGGTTGGAGGCCATCGTTAGTACGTTGAAGGCCGCCGCTTCTACGTTACAATATTCCTTCTCAGTACCCAAAGGTGTGTCGGGCAGGAGGTTTCTGGTTTAGGGTTTCCTGAAACATCAGGTGTTGCTAGGGCAGCCTGCAATCTCTCCCATGTCCTGCCGGATTTTCAATAGTCACACACCGGCCCCTGCTTTCTGTGGCTGAGTGGACACTTTTCTGGTCCAAAAGCTTGCGGATGAGCGTTTGTGTTCCAAAATGACCGTAATCATGTGGCTCAAAATGGACGTCTACGGACTTGACTCCGTGTGTTCCAAATGACCGAACAGTATGACGATCAAAACCGGGTTTGGTATCACATGACATGATATCACGTTGTACGGCATGTTGAAGTTGTGATGTTGAGTGTTGTGCTGTGATATGATTGTATGATAGTACATCTTTGTAGAATAAAATATAATATATATCATGAGCATAAGTAAATAAATAGATCAATTTTATATATATATGTGTGTTATATATATACTATATATATTATTGGTATATTATATATATATATTATAGATATATATTATATATATTACGAAAGCCAGCCGATAGGCTAGACTGGAGTTGTCGATGGGCGAATGAAGTGAGTATAGGGGGTGTGGTCTGTATATGGAGCCTATCATATCCTCTCTGCCTTAAGGCGAGACTTTGCGCCTCTTTGCCTTGTATTTCCCCATGCTTGACAGCAGTTGAAGTGCGTTGTCGACTTCACCCCATAACCACATTGATGACTTCTTACGGAGGCTGGCTTTCGTCCCCTCCCTTCTCAGGTATATACACATAATACACATATATGTTGTTTTTGTCTTTGTACGTACGTGAAGGGGGCTTGACCCTCTCCTTGATCTACTTTGTCCCTTTCGTCAGCTCTTGTTTCAATCATACGCTTCGTCCTTTCAAGCTGACGACATGCTTCCCCACATCTTCTCTCCTACCTGATTGGCGGTCAATGCCATGGCCTGCTTCACTTTCCATATTTGCATCTTTAGTTTCCCTCGTTTTAATTGGTTTGCCTTGGCCTCCTTGTGCTTGATTTTTTTGGCCACTTTGCATGTGCGTTTAATTTGACAAGCTTGCTCTGCGGGGTTTGTTTTCTGCGGCCCCCTCAGTTTGATACTGCAGTTTGAGTTCCCGCAAACCGAGTCTTGCCAGCAAAGCATCATCAAACCACTTGTTTGTTTTCCAGCACCTTCGGTCAATTGGCATTTGTAGAGTTTCTCAGCAAAAGCTCGGCCAGATGGCGCTGGCCAGAAGATGTATGTCACACCAACATGTTTAGCATGGTTACCCAGGGTAACTGCCATGCAAAAGAAGGAGGCTGATGCATGTTGGAAAGTTGAGTTTAGACAGCATGCTGCTGAGAATAGGAGCAGAGGATAGCAAAGGTGTTCAAGTTCCGGATGCTGTGAAATCTTTGCAGTTGCGCCTGTCAGAACGGCAGTCACGCCTGCAGCACATTGCCAGAATGCCTTCGGCCTGATGTGCGCCGGCATCCTTTTCTTCCCAGTGGCGCTGTACATTCTCGGGCCCAAGTCCCAGAAAGACAATCCACATGAAGGCTCACATGAACACCACGAAGAGTTCCATTAGGGATCGACTGATTGGTGCAGCACGGTGCACCTATAAGATCGAATGATGCCGAACCCAAGTTGACAAATGAATCAACCTTTTTGTGCGGAATTTCATAAGTGAGGTTCGGCGGGTGAACGACAATTCAATTCATATTGACCAAGGTCCAATGAGAAGAACTACATGTGCACCCACAAGAACATCATCTTCGCAGATGAGAGGGCCAAGGTGCCGCTGTTTGTCCGCTTGTCAGACCCGGTTTGGCCAGAGCCCAGGCGGTTGAATGTGACCAACAGATGGTGCCTGATGGAATTGGCTACATGGCTTGTCCCATCAAGCAGGTGCTGCGCTGCATCATGCACGATGTTTCAGAACTTGCAGTCAAGCATGCAGATGCTTCAGATGATCGAACTCTCGCATTGAACAGGAGAGTTTTCTGGAATTCACCGGAACCAGTTTCGGTTCCTCTGGCATTGGCCCTGCGATCCATTTTAAGTACATCCAGCAAGTTTGAGCTTTGCCCAGGAAATGCCGGTTGGGCGGATTCTAAGGCGGTTTGGTATATTTTACGCTGTTCTGCCAGGTCTGCCGTGGGTGCACAGAAAGCCGAGATGTTCCAGTGCGCTGGGGAAACTCAGGCATTTGCTTCGCGTGCGCACCTAATTTAGCTACAGTGACTGTTGGCTTGTGGAAGTGTTTTTCCATCATCCCGAAACTGCTGGTGCAATTGGAAGATCGAACACGCAGTGGACAGTGAGACACTGAGATCACACAGTGAGGGCACTGATAAAGCATGTGCAGCAGTGCAGCATGTAGCTACCAGGTTTGGGACATTCTCACAAGGTCTAAGGCATCTAAACTTGTTGGGTCCAAGGTCGAGTCTGTGAAGACGGAGAGGCATGGAAACAATACAGTTAAGGCCGGAGCACGTGAGCACTCGTATTGGTTTTGTGGGGACTATATCAGTGTCCTCCAGTTACTCCAGTTTGAGTTTTCGACGCCGCTTATAAAAATCGGTCATTGGAGAGAGCTTTTTTTAAAGAATCAAAAAAGTCAGTCCCAAAAGCAAAGTCAAAAAAACAAATCAAATCAGACAGTTTCAGAAAATATAAAGGTCAATTTGTTCAGATCCGACCGTTTCTTTACTTTTGTTTGACTTTGTTTGATTCGTTTTACTATTTTGATTTTTTCAGCATTTCTTGACTGTTTTTTTTGATTGTTATGTTTGACATTTTTCGACTTTTGTTCGACTTGTTTTATTTGTTTGATTTTTTTGACTTTGTTCGAGCAGTGGTCTATGTTTGATGTTTTTCTTTTTTTTGACTTTGACTTTTCCATTTGACTCTATTTGACATTTGTTTAATCAAGGATTCTGGCATTACCATATGAAAAGTTTTTATGAGCCTATGCCTCATGTTTCTACTATATATATATACCGCATTTGTTCATTGTTGCTTCAGTGTTTGCACAAACTTGCTATCCATCAGTATAGCTTGGGAGTTGCCAGACGTGCTCCTCCTTCTACGATGCTGTAATGTGCATGTCAATGTGAGCTTTTCCGTCCCTCACCCGCGTTCGCAGGTGTACAGCTATCAAATGACGTGGAGTTCATCAGCTGTGCGATCTGCGAGCTTTGCGCAAACGCATCCCCGGCACAAATCACCGACCTGTCCGGAGTGTCCCAAAAGGATCCTAGGCACTTGTGAGACTTCCCTTGTCAAACTTAAGCGCGACATGAGCAACACCATCAGTGTGATCTCAAACTTGTATGCTAAAGTGTTGTTAGAGAAAGTGGATGGGTGTGTGATGGTGTGTTTGTGTGTGTCACGATGTTTGGATCTAAAGTTACCGATGGAGGCCGGTTCTTCGGTGCCGTATACGCCGTTTGCGCTTCCAGGCCGCAAGCGATCCAAGCGCGCGAGTATGGTTGCCCTGGAGCCACCAATGGCCATGGCCTAAAGATCGGACAATACTGTCAGAATCCGTCAGACATTTAGTCAATTGCATACTGGGATACTGTGCCGAGGCAACCCATCCTGGCCTGCAAACTTAGCACAAGGTGTTCAGACACAATATGTCCTGGAAGCCCAGAGGAGACTGCATCAACTGCAAACATGCCAATCATGCACCATGTGCTTACATTGCAGGGACATGATCTTACATGTGCAGTAGCACTCAGCTAGAAGAGTTGATACAACAAAGGTGGCTGAATGAAGGGAGTATGCAAGGGCCGAAGTGCTGGAAACGTGCTGACCATAAGGTTCATGCATTTTCGACTGATAAGGTACAAGTTGATACAAGTTAATACGTTCATAAGGTGCGTGTTTTTACGGGTCGGGTTCTTCCCAAGTCGGCTTGTGGAGGCAGTGTTGGCCCTTTCCAAGGCACGAGAGATGGTGGCTGGACCTCTCACCATCGATGCGGATCTGATACACGGACCACACAGAATCTGATGGCACAAACTAGGAGCAATGTTCGCTACTAGGGGCTCCTGGCATCGCTACTAGGAGCAAGGATGCTACTAGGGGCTCCTGGCCTTACGACTATGAACAAGAGGACGCTACTAGGAATGATGGCACAAACGAAGTTGCACAGACTGTCACACAATCAAGTCTGCTTCGTAATTGTGGGCAAGCCTCCTCAGTTGTTTGATAGCTCCGCCAAGCTCCTACTTGGAATGTAAGGAGGCTCCCGGCTTTCATGTGGTTGGTGACTGGTTTGCTTTTTCTTTGAGTAATGCGGGCGTTCGTGCCTTGGTTTGGTGTTTGGCTTGTTCCAATCCCTATGGCTTTGACCGCTGGCAGGAGGAGCATCTTCTGGGTGAGTGCCCTAGAGACACCGCACCCGTAAAGGTTGAAATTGGACTATTGATGTTCAATCTATAGCACGGAGCCCTCTCGAAGAGAGAGGTGAATTTTCACTGAGTTGGCTGGGTTTATTTGTGGTATGGCCCATGGGGCTTCAGGGTGAACTGGTCAAGAGATGAATGAATGCATCCAGTGCATGCCTTTCATTATGTGTTGTGTGAGTGTGAGTGTGTTTTGTATTGTTCTGTGAAAACCTGCAGAGGGTCTTCGTGGGTGTCTCTGCGGTTTGCCAGGTTGCATGCCAACATGGCGAACCCTGTCCCTCTGAATCAGTTCAAGAGCGCTTTTGCCGCGCTCCAGCACTTGCCATATCCAAATATCGTGACGCCACAAGCGCCACCAATGCAAACCCACGGCAGTGGCTGGTACACGCAGACCGTCCACCAGCAAAACCATCATGCTCGACGCCTTTTCTTCTCCTGGAACCAGATGCAGAAGATGAACCCATTCAGCTGGGGACTCAAGACTCAAACAAAACAACTCTGCCCAGTTCATTAGGCTGAACATCACGTTGGCTTCACATTTGCTACGACCATAGTGGGCATGAGGGCTTTGAAGGCATGCGATGGCCACCCATGGTTGGTTTGGGCAGGCTTGAACCAGAGCCAAGTTGATTGAACCAAGTACCACTGACAAGTAACAAGTAGCTTCTCAAATTTAAGCAACTGCTACTGCTGTTGACCGTGCCTGTCAAGCTGCTGGCGGTCTTCTCCCAGCGCTGAGGTCAGTTGAACACCTTGGACTTGTCCTCAATCAGCACGCACAACTTGGTGGGCTCAGCTCAGACACATTTTGCGTTTGGAGAACAAATTTTGCAATCAGATGAGTTTGTACAAGCGCAAATGTCCAACACGCAAGAAGAGTGATAAAGATCATCAAAAGGGTCTTTCGGTCACCATTTCAGAAGTCTTTTGGCGCACTCAGCGCTGTGAGAGTCAGAGTGCCCTGAGGCAGTAGACGCATCTGGCACATTCCTGGTCACTTGCCAACAAGCGCGGCATGCGTCTAAGAGCACGCAGGAGCTCGCTGGAGCTTTTTTTCCTTTGAGGCATTATCCTGTACTGAACCTGTTTAGCCCTTGACCTGAATTCATGGATTACTCACTTCAGGTTGGGGTGCATCAGAATCCAATATTTCAAGAATTGGGACACCATGGTGACTTTGATCAGTGCAGTTCAGGGAGGCTTGGGGCGATGAGAGAGTGGGCAAGCGACTTTCAACGAAACCACCGAGTTTTTGATCAAACCACCGAGCTTAGCTATACGTTATATATCTCAAGACCCCTGCCTGATGCACCGCTGATATGGCCTTAATTGGTCACTCGTGCGCAGGCCGTACTCTCCCGATTGACGTGCCTGCCAGCTGGGGTTGGCGCCTGAAAGAACGGCTTTCAACTAACATGTCTACCACATGGCGCCAGTGTATACGTGTCGACCACCGCGTGTGGCCTGTTTGTTTTGCGCTGCCAACCAAAAACTCCAGTGACAAAGAGAGATGACAAAGCAGGAACTGTGTCCCCAGGTTGCCCATCCAGCAAATACAACGTTTTGCCTACAGCCCAGCAATAAAGAGGAATGGGTATTGGCGATCAAGAAGCACGACATGTTTTATCTCATATTGATTTTTTGGAATGCAGAGCCTGTACGAAGAAAGGATTCGCCCCGCACCGGCTCTATTCTGAGGGTTGGTGGCCTAATGTCCAAGATGGACTTGACCCAGATGTTGGAATCTGCCAACACGGCTTGGGACCTGAGCCATTCAGCATGTCAGTCAGCACAACATGTTAACTTCGCACCCGTTCCATGCAAGATAAGACTGGTAAGAAGATGCAAGAAGAACGCGTGCCCTCACTACTCTGAAGTGAAGGTGGTTGAGGCAATGTTCAGGCAATCTTGTTCATACAGTGAAGGGTGTACTTAGTGTCATTTGTTGGCTGAGGATTCTTAACATGGAATTCTGAGGGTCGCTTGCCTCACTTCGTTTTCATTTCCCGGGGCGTCAGAAACAAATTTGGACTGGGGAGGTAGCCCTTCCTTTTGAACGCTTCAGCGCCGCAAGTGGGACCAACTGGCCCTCGGCGCTGATTACCCCAGATTCCGGGCGTTCTGCAATCTCTTGACTCTTGACTTCTTGAGTTAAAGCACTTAAAGCCTGATAGGTCCTCAAAAACCTGTTCATTTTCCCAGCCTTCGCATATCATAATATGTGTTTCTTTAGGATCCATTGTTTTTTCAAGAGCACCATTGAGACGAAAATGGCACACTATACAGGATAGAAACAAAAACATCAAGTCAAAAATAGGCAGAACGAACGGGGACAAGAACGAAAAGGAAAACGAAATCTGGAGATTTAGAAGACGGACATGTGAGGATCTGAAAGGACATAACATTCTAAGTCGAATCGCGAGTGAATCTTACACTCAAGGAAATACAGGGAAAGACAAGCTTCGGAAAAGGCGAGTGGACAAAGAAAAATCGATTGATATACAGCGAGATATCGACAATTGAGGAGCATCCGTGTCGAATCGATTGAATTCTAAGTCTCAATGAACATGATAGAAAAGGGTGCTTGAAAAAGATTAGACAGATTGAAGAACATTTCAACGAAAGGGGCTCTCGATTAAAAGTTGAAAGGACAATGGAAAAGGAAAGGGCAATTGACGGAAAGTAAAATTTAGGCGGGAACCTGCCTGGCCAAATCCTGTTGTACCATTTGCAGCCCCAAAACAGACACGGGCAATGGAGGATTGAAGAGAAACAAATGTACTGTACCGGCTCAAATTTTCAAGACGAGAGCGCTCGCTTTGGCATGCAGTGGATGGTGAAGATACGGATAGCAACCGTCCAAGATCAGATCCCTTTCCTGAAGGTTTGCACGTTTGACATGGTGGTATTCTTGAGCAGCCTGACCATACACAAAGCTCACAGCCCCATGACATCCGCACTGAGACGGGGACCTGGACTATGAGGGTCATCGGCTTGTTGTTCGCTTGGTGGGCCGTGTCTCCCCGCCTAGTGTCTACACCAGTGTCGCCGCCAAGCGCGACAACAACATGGCAAGCATAAGATTCATGCATTTGCATTGGGATGATCAATATCCATTGAATGCAGATTCACATTCAAGCTTTTGTGCCAGATATTGTTGCTTCCAGCCTATCTCCAGTGCGATTGACGTCGTTGGGGATTGCCCACATCTCAGCCCGAGTTTAAAGGCCTTTGTTCTAGGCTTCCAATTCAGTTGTGTTTTACATTGCATTTAAGGCCGTTTCACGTATTGGATTCTGTTCATTGGATGCTTTCTCTTGCTCCTTTTGCTTCAGGTGTGCGGGCTATTCCATGCTTGGGCCCCATTTTGGAGGACCTACTCGAAGGCACAATGAATGGCAATAATTCGTCATTTTTCAGGGGTCACCTGGTCGTGCTACTTGGCTAGAGACGCTCACGTGTGGCGGTCTTTACGGTGATCCCTTAGGTTTTTCCCTTTGGCGTACTGTGTAAGACCAACGCAATGCTTTGTCTTGCATATCTTAAAATTCAGGGCACAACTCGGACCATTAGTAAGGTGGCTTGCTACTAGTAGCTTCTTGCTTCTAGTACACTAGTAAGGTGCCTTGTTACTAGTAGCGTGCTTGCAGGCATGATGACTTGCCTCCTTTGTGTAGTCTCCTGTGGTTGCGGCTGCTCCTGCGGATTGTTTGTCATCGGTGTCGTGTGGCTCTACATGCGGCCATTGCTTGGGCCTCGGTTGAGAGAGTTCGCAAATCCGTTGGACAAGCTTCAGCTTTGGCTACCTGAGCTCGCTTTGGTTTTGGGAAAGGTATGGAAAGGTGCATTTGGAGGAACAGGCTTGCAACCGAACCAGGAAACTGCAGTGACCAATCTTGGTCTCACTCGCAATAACATGCAATAACAATCACTGCAGCGACAGCACTAGCAAAAGCCAGAAGCTGCCTTTGAGGCTTCAAGAGATTATATTAAAATGAATTTACTTATGTAGATGATTTGAGGTTCAGATGGCATTTGCTGCATGCTGACCCTAACAACGGGTTTGAAACATGTTGAAAAAATTATGGTGTGATATGGTGTGTTGTTCTCTTATGCTTACCGCCCGGGTGGTTGAGTGACTAGTAGTTGCTCAGAAACTTCAAAAACCCGCCACAATCGATCAAACACCTCTTTTCAAGCCATCACACTGCGTTTGGGGACTCGCACACGTTGGTAGGAAAATCAGCTGAGTGCTCAACAATCCTTCGGAGACAGATAAGCTTTCCCGATAAATTTATAGTGTTTGCCGCTGACACCGTCGCCGTTTGACGCGAGAGCTTTGTTATTCTCAGCCGGAAGGGTGCAGGAGTTGTCTCCTGTGCTTGGGCACAGCAAGTGGCCAGCCTTGCCCAGATCGACGGATTATATACTTACTTTCGCCAGAAATTCTGAGAACTTGACACAGTGACTTGCTGGCAGCTTTCGGGCCGCTTCAGGTAGGCCACAACGGATCCATGATCTTGCACTTGCTTATTCTTCAACATCATGTTGTAAACTCCGCAGGTCACCGTATCATACGTGTATCTCTCTCCAAGTCCTTGCCAACAAACGACAGACCCGACCCTTTTTGAGTCCAAAATGTGCGTGCGCACCTCTCAGCAGTATGCAGAGATGTGCAAAGAGCCAAGCGCAAAAAGCGCCAGGCTGTGCTTCCTGAGTGACAGCGATTCCGTGCAACTGAGTTTCCGGTGGAATTTTCAGTCTCATGCCTTTGGGTAGAACAACCACAGAACAAATGACTTACTGCAAAAAGAAACAAAGCAAGCAACCGACAACAATAATAATCATGATGTATAAGTTAAGTGTACAGTATAGTATAGCTTTCTAAGCGTGTGACCACGGTGATCATGTTTGTGCACATGGCGGCCCCCTCATCATCAGGTTGTTGGCTTGTTTTGCCCCCTTTCAAGCCAAGCTGATCAGTATTTATTAATTCTTTTATTATTGGGGTTGCCGGTCAGGATTCAAGACAGTTCAACCAATTGGTTTGCACTACCGTTAAATGCCAACCAGAAAGTCAACGGCCGTGTATTTGTTCAATGCACAGGATAAACTCTCCCCTGTTGTTCTCATGTTGGGACGCGCTCGGCTTCAACCCTAGCAAGATTTGTGTAAGATTTTTGTGTGATGAAAACTGATGTGTTTCAGTTCTTTTGCGAGGTTTTTGTTGCAAGATCCCTATACACAATGTTTGTGTGCAAGATCTGTGGGGATAAGTACAGGAAGAAGATCTCAATGGAAAACTCTTGTACGATCTCTACGAGATTTGTGTGCTCAACGGCCTGCCAACGAACCAATCTGAGAACCAATAGCATGAAGCAGTTGCCTCGCCTCATTAGAATGGTGTAGCAGCCTCCCACTTGAGGCTATGTTGTTGCATTTTTCTTTACGTGTGGAGGGAAGAAAGTTAGCGAGGGTCAAGCAGCACAGAACATGCATCACTTGAGGATTGGCGGAGGGCTCTTGGCAATTTGCGCCGCTTTGGCTGTGGGCGCTTATGCTCTCGGCTACACAACGAAAGGCGCCAAGGCACGTACCTCAGAGCACAAACGGGCAAACATGGTGACCACATGACCTTTGCGGCGGCCAGGGGTCGCGCAGTTTGGTCAGCGAGATGCAGCAATTGACCGGAGAGAGCAATGAAGCCGCATGAAGCCTCTCACTGAGAGGGAGATTCAAATTAGGGTGTCATTGGGTGGCTGAGTTCTTGACAGGCCACAAAGTCGCAAGTTTTGTACTTACCCAGCTTTGGCACAAGTACCCATACTGAGATTCCTGTGACCAAGTGCATTTCCCCTGGTGACATGCATGTTTTCAATTCTTGCTCTTGCGACTGAGCACCAATGTGTAATCAGTCAATTGTCGTGCCCAAAGACGGCTGATGGCATTCGTGCTGAAATACTGGAAATGCTGGTTGTGCGAACCAATTGGTGACTGCACCTGCTCGGAGTACACTTGTCCCGCTTCTGTCCAGAAGCCGGCACTCGATCGTTTAAAGGCCACAAGCTAGGTCAGCTAGGTGGGATGAAAAGACATTTACACAGGTGCTTGGATCCCGATGGGGTTTCAAGATACTGGTTCAAAGGATTTCAAAGGTGCTTTGGGATGCAAAATACAATATGACGGTTTTTTCCGAATGTGGCATGAATGAAGGTGTGGGTTGAAAGGTTTTTGGTGTAAGGAGTTTGCAGAGGTGTTCGAACAACTTTAGCGACAAGGGAGACTTGAAGCTTCCAACGACTTGGAATGAAGGAGGGTTAAACATCTTCACAGCATGTTTCTGCACTTTTGGAAAGTTTCAATCCGTGGGGAGGCCGAACTTGAAGGTTCAAATCAACTTGTGAAGACAGCTTCAATGTCTTTTGGCTTCTTATTGCAGAGATGTTGAAGGACATTTAGCGACAGAGAATGAACATGTGGTCCCAAGTCTGGGCAACCTGGATCCGCTCCGAGTAATCCCAAATGCGACAGGCGCAGACCGAGATTATATTGTATAATCGCAATTATTTCAGCGCATTAAGTGAAAGCGAACTTTCAACCGCTCCCCAAATTCTCTTTTTTCGAGCTTGCCAAGTTCTCTCCTGATGTGCCAGACTCCTGGGCCATTGCCTCCAGTTGCCTTTTCTGGTTGGGATTTTCCAGGCCACACCGCAAAACAGTTTTTAGAGCCGAGCATGTGTGCTTGACAGCTATCAGGGCTTTCCCAGCGCATCATGATCTCGAGCAGGCGCATGCAGATGAACTGTAAGGCCCACTGGAAACTGGGAATGAAACCGTGCCTATTCTCCACTCCTGTGCAGTAGCGACAGCTTGATGTCACATAGGTCACACATCCCGCAATGCACCACATCCCATCTTGAGATCAATCTCTCGAGCTTTCTTGCGGCTGCTCAACATGGACTTTCAGAGTTTACACGAGCCTCAGAAAACAACCTACAGTTCAGTCAACAAGCCCCAGATTTGCTTGGCGAAAGCTGTATCAGGTGAAAAATGCAGCACCACCACCTGGCATACTTGCAAAGGCAAGTGTAGTTACACTCCCTGGAACCAACATGGATGTGGCACATGGGTTGTTGGAAGATAATTTTCCTCTACAAACAGGTGGGGCCCACTTCAGCTTCAGGGAGAGCATACCTCCGAGGTTTTAGACCTTTGCCTGCCAAAGGGAGAAAGAAAGATCGCTATCTTGAATTATTGACCGTATTGACCCTTCAGTTGTGCAAGCACCAAGCAAACCGTTCATTCTTAGAGGCTTGATTGCAACAGCTTTACCTGCACTGTGGCTGGACTTTGTGGCAAATCGCTTCCCCTCAAAGATTACTGTACCTATTTGGGTGTTCAGTGTTTGTTTCAAAAAGCTTTTTTGTCTGTTTTTTGTCCTTCATTTTCGTCAAATGGCAACTTTCCATTGTGTGTGTGCGAACTGCGTTTACTTGGATTGCGGATGAGGGCTCTATGAAGTCTCTACTCCAAAGAAGTTGGACATTCTAGACACCCATTGCAGCCACAAAGGCCCCTACCCTACCTGAAACAGATTGCTCCAAGTTCAAAAAACACATTGCAACTCAATACATGCCCGCATTGGAAAGAAGCATTTGCTGCAAGGTTTTTTCCGGTGAAATGTTCTTTTCCATATTTATTCAAACCCGTGCTTTTCAAACGATCCCTCCAAGCATATTTTTTAATGCTCTTTTCTCTCTCTACACTCTGGTGTTGCACATCCAAAGTGTCTGAAGAAGAGAACGGCAATGAAAAAACACTGGAAGAACTATATATATATAAATCAGAGAAGGTGCCGACCTTCAGTTGCACGATGATACGAACTACATTCAGTTCTACAAAACGAAAAGGCACAGACCGTTTCGGCCAGCTCTTACGCAGGCTTTGCCTTTTTTCCCTGTGGGTTTGTCTCTTGTTGGTTTGATTGGGTTTGGTGTGTTTTGGTGAACTGTTGACTGGCAGTAAACAAAAGTGTTTGCTTGCTTTAGCTTTTGTGTGTTACTGTGTTTTGTCGGGGTGGTGTAGGCGAATTGATTGTTTGAAGGTGGCATTGATTTTGGCACAGGGGCTTTGGACTTGTTTGTTCAGGAGTTCGGCAACTGAAATGTGTTGTGTGTTGCTTGGGCTGAACTTCTGTGGACTTAGTGAGCTTGAAATTGCTGTTTAAAGTTTTGAGCGAGTCTTTTGGTACCTTGCAAGGATTTGCAAGGTGTGTTTTCAATGGCCCTGCTCACGCCTCATGTGTGGTTTGGTGTTTGCGATGTATGGTTTTCGGTGTTGTTGCTTTGCGCATGTTCGGTTTTGCTTTTGTAACTGATTGGTTTAGCCGCCTCCAAGTTGAAGAGCCTTCCAGATTCTAAATATATATATATAGTTTGTTGTTTAAATTATCGCGTGCATCATTGTCAACCTTACACTCAGTCATTCAGATTGCAGCGATACATTATTAAAGGAGAAGACCACCTTCACTATGGGAAGCAGCCCAAGAATTGTATATGTCACGTTGCGTTCGATTTTCAACTGCCTTTAAGCAAGCGCTTGCCAAAGATAGGTTTTGAAGATTTAGTTTCGCTACATCTTGAACTGTCTTTGACAAGTGTTTGCCAAAGCTGGTTCTTCAGACGGGTTGTGTTGCTGTGCTTTCAGCTAGTTCTGGCGGCAAGGGCTTTATCAGGTGCTTTTCAAGGACAGTTGCAGTACTAGGCTTTTGTTTCAACCGCCCAAGTGCGTGCAAAGGGTAGCTCTATTCCTTCGTTTTATTAACGTGCCATTGTCATAATCAACCCTTCCTTTGATGTTACCTCCCATATGTCAGCCTTTTCCCAATTAATGTTCCAAATACTCTTATGTGTACAATCGATCCTTTCACTTTGCTTTGCAAACATTTATATAATTTGTTCAACCTGTTCCATTCCAACTCCTTCCCCGGGTCCTTCCCCCAATATCTCCTTGAATCTTCGATAGTACCATTTTGTCCACAAGGCCCCTGCATGCAATGCACTGGCATTGAAGAAGCACAAATAGTTACTGTAATGATTAAAGTTGGATTGGCCTTCCTCAGGCTCGGAGAACCAAGCTTCCAACAACCCATCTCGCCCATACCACTCCCAACACTATTCAACACAGAACACCGTAGCTGCGCAAAACCAGCCGAGAAAAGAATGCTATACAAGAGACCTTCGCCCAAGCACGCACAGCCAAACAAAGGGAACAAGACCTGTCAACAACGAAGCCAACAAGCAACAATATGACAAGAACGCCTCAGAGAATCATCAGAAACGCAGGAGCACACCCACCCAAACCGTAATCCACACCAGCTTCACACCACTCCCACTAGTCACAACAGAGCCTACGAGGTTTATTAAAGCAACAACAGAAAGCAATGACCCTAGAAGAATTACCGAAGCACACAAGATTACACAAGGCCTTCACTTGACCCCCAAGATATATAAAGCACAAAACCAGACCAAAACAACAGCTGCAGCCACCATAGAATGCAAAGAAACAAGCCGCAATTAGCATTGAACCACACCAAGCCTAGCTATGCAAGAACTTCAAGCAACTAATTTCGCCCACACCGCTCACCACAACATACAACAAGATCAGAACCTAACCAGACCAAAAAATAGACATGGTCCCAAGCCTGCTGAAAACTGTTAAGCCAACAAAATCTCCTTTTCGCCCCACGATTCTTTGGACTACATGTTTTTCAACCATGTTTATGCAAACGTTCTCGAAACCAATCTTCACAAAACAATATTGAACCCATTGTTCATGCCAAATTCCTTCGAACCTTCAAGTACATGTCGCCCCGTTTTTGGTTCAAGCTGCTTTGCATTCCACAAGAACTTCAACCCATTTCGCCCATACAGATCACCATAACATGGAACAAGGATCAGGACTTCAAAAAAACTAACCCGCAACAGTTATATAGTGAAATGCAGAATGCCCATAAGCCATGAATGTGTTTCATACACCTATCCAGTCATAAGTCATGAAGGAAAGATAAAGTTTTTACCAGACCAACAAGCAACAAACAATGTCTTAGCACCCCAACCAAGCACGTGCTGGAAAGGCAGAGCAACAAGAAAGTTGCATGTTCTGTTTGAAGCAGGGGG